CGTGATTTCAAACTAAACATAGAAATCTCCGTAGGCAAATTTAAGGCACTCATAAAACCGGAAGTACTTTTCATATGCATACCAAAATTGAAACATAGACAGCATATTAGTCTTCAAATAGATTGCCAAAGGGAGATAACTCTTCACAAATATTTTCTAAAAGACTTATAAATGCAATTTTTCAGGTCTCTAAAACTCCTTTAAGGGGTCAAAAAGTGACCCACGGACCATATTTTTTAGACTGTCCTTTGTATGCTTAAGTCAAATCTGAAAACCATTTGAAAATTCATTGAGAAATAAAAAAAGTTATAGGCAAAGGTCTGTTTGCAATGTTGGCCCCTAAAAATCCCCTATTTTCAAACATTTCAATTTAATAATTTGAAGAAGTCACAACAGTTTTAGAGTTATTCTGCATACAAAATATTACAAGAAAATACTGAATACTTTAAGAGATAATGTTCCACGATTAATTTCAATTTAAAATAAAACTTTCAAGACCCATAAAACCGGAAGTTCTGTTCTGATTGATATGAAACTTACAATATATGTTCTACTAATGAGTTCTAACATATTTCTATGCTCAAAATAATTTTTGTAGCGTAATTGTGACTTTCAAAACTTTCACCCCCCCCCTTCTTCAATGTTTGAAGTCTTATATCTCGAAAAGTATTTGCGTTCAAAAATTACATACGCGCACTTTTTTATTGGATTATGTCTCTAGAATTCATATTTCAAATTTGGGAGTCTAGACACTAAAATTAAAAATGTTTTCGGCTTCTTTAGAATTTTCAGTTTTCCTTTAGTAGAAACCGGAAGTGACTATTCCGGAAGTTGTTCTTGTTTCACGCACGAGAGATTTTAATTTGCTATTTAGTGGTTACAAAATAATATACCTATTCTCAAAGGTACTCCCTAAATGCTGAACGATAGAAGTGTTCAGTATAATAATAATAATAATAATAAAAAACAAGACGAAAACAATAGGTCTTTTCGACAAAAGTCGAAAAGCCCTAATTAGTTAAGTTAAGTGAAGTGAAGTTAATTATAATAAGTGTAATTAGTAAATTCAGTTAAGATTGAAAGAAAAATCTGAAAAGTATGAGTGCACTTAGCTATGAGAGTTGTGTCCCGGTGTTTTGCACAAAATAAAATCACAATATTCATTAACTTTAATATGTTCTTCAGGTATTAAACAATGACTTAAGAGCAGGTGTTGATATATTAAATAACATGGAAGTATTAGATAACGCCGAACGACACCAGTTTTTGAGGTGGGGGTCTAACAGTTTTGTCACATTTCTATTGTAACAGTTATTCATATGCATACGAGTTTTTAACGACATTGTTTACATCAAAATGGAACTTGTCTATTGATCTCATTTGCACAGAATGTGTATTTTAATTTAAACTTTTAAAATACATCCAAAAGACAATGTTGGACAAATTGGGGCTCATATATAATTTTTATCCAAAGTATGGTCAAGTTAGCCACTAAATTAACAGGTCCCCGAGTGTCAACGATTGATATTATAATAATTTTTACGGCAATAAAATTCAACCATTTGAACATCTTCCTAAAAGGATTTTGAGTATTAAGAAAAGTTTGTGTCAATCTTTAAAGTCTGGTATAAGTGAGTGAGTTATCTATGCTCAACTCTACACAAGATATGTGTACCCTGTTAATAGGGAAATAACACGAGGAACACCGCTCTATGAAGATTTTCATTGAATTTAAATTTAGTATGCAATGTCATGCTCCACATAAAGGAGATAATTGTTCAATTAAAAAATAATGTCAGATAAACAAGGTAAGACAAGGTTAGTAAACAATTTAATACGATAAGAATTGTGGAGCATGCATGAGTAATGACCAATATGCGTTAGTTGTTAATCTCTAAAAGGAGGTCAAGGGAAGGTTTAATTTAGAACGAAAGTGCATAGTTATTTTACAATGTGATCTTCAAGTCAAACAAAGTTAATCAGTCAAATAAAAAATTATGAGGATTATCACAAAAGAGATCTTTATATTGCTAAAATTTGCATGTTCAAAAAGAACTACTTCTTTGAAATACGATGACTAAAGAAATTTGATAAAAATGTCTCAATAATAATAACGTTAACGTGACAATGACTATTAAAATAATTGATTTCGGCGAGGGGAAGTGTCGAATTTCCGGTTTATAGACAAGATTATCTAAAAATAGATTTAAAATGCTGAAATATGCATTTGCTGAAATGAACGTTCAAAAAAGCATGTTACCCTTTCGCTCTTTTTCGTCGAAAAACCATTTGATATTTAAAATTCGTTTTCCATTATAATGGTGCCATCTGTAGGATGATTAAAATATGTTCTTTCGGTGTAGAATAATATCGAATTTCAGGAAAGGACAATTTTATTAAAAAATAAATTTTATGTGCATATGGTTAAGATTCGCAGAAAAACAATATGCTGTTTTGCCGTTTTTTCCCTTCGAAATACGATGTTACTATGGATTCAAGAGCAACATAATACTCCCCAATTAATAAATATAGCTTTCTCTAAAAGAACATCATATCTACAAAGTATATCTTACAATGTACTTCTTTGTTAGTCATATACAATTTTACATCATATCCAAAGAATTGTATTTTAGCATTAATTAAACACATCTATCATAAAGAAAATAAAAAGAAAACCCAGGAAATGTATTAAATGGACTGTGTAGAATATTTATGTATATTATAATTGAGTTGTTTATCCATGCTTGTGATGAGGTTTTGAAGTGAAACAGTTCTTAACGCGATTTTATAATAAATTTCTTGAACCCTTTGTCCGTGTTTACTCTGCTCCTATATTGTATTGTTTTACGGACTTTGATATTGAATACTGTACGTTATCTCCATATCCTTCACTTTAAACAGAGGATTGATTGATTTAAGCTTAATGTCCCTCTAGAAAATTTTTAACTCTTATGGAGATGCCACCACTTGCCGATGGAGAGCTGCAAATTTTGTCCTATACTCGGCACTCAGGGCCATTGAGCAGCAAGAGATCTTTTTTGTGCCGACACCTACTGCGACACGGAAACTTTGTTTATACAGTCTCATCATAAGGACCGGTCTCCTCCTAATACAGTGGGATTCGAACCAGTCTTTACTGTGCGACTCTAGAGCAGACGCTCTAATTATTATGCCACGCGGGCGACCATTCGCTCGGTTTTAAGTTCGCCAAATAAGTGCGAAATAGGCGAAATTGAAACGAGGGCATAAATTTCCCTGTACGGTAGAATCATCATTATACTTAGGGGACCAATGTTCGTGGATTTCGTGGGTCACCCTTACCCATGAATTTACATCCCCACGAAAGTTTATTTTGTTAACATATTGACTCATTGAAACATCACATTTACGAGTAACCCACGAAATTACGCCCCTTTGAATAGGTCAACTTTTGTTTACCAACGAACATTGACCCCAACGAATTAAAATGATTCCTTAGTATACAGAATCTTGTGGCTGCCAGATAAAATATTTTTTTTACTTTGCACCATCTGGATTCCGTACTCTTCAATTCACCTTTTCAAACAAATTAATCAGCCCGAAAAGAGTACTTTTAATTCCATGGACAACGTTCAAAGATTTAACAAAAAAATGTGCCCATTAAAATAAAGTTGTCATTTTGCAATTCTTAACAAAAATTTAATTCTTTCCAATCACTAAGTTCACATGTTTTATAAAATCTACCTATTTTAAACTACATACAATTAGGTATCTTTAACCATTATTAATTTTTCAATGTAGGCTGAGCAATGTCATTGTCATCAAACACAATCTCGTATAAGGTCAAATTCTGCCTGCAAATATTCAAAATTAAATAATTGTTTTTTTACCAACTGTATTCTCAAATGTGCATACAGCGGGTGTGATCAGGAGGCAATGGATGCTCGCTCCTCCAATCTCGTATAAGGTCAAATTCTGACTGCAATTATTCAGAATAATTGTTTTTTTTACCAACTGTATTCTCAAATGTGATACAGCGGGTGTGATCAGAAAGCAATGGATGCTCGCTCCTCCATGACATCCATATCTGATGTGTTAGGTTCATGGATGTCATTTTGTGATTTGATAGTTGTGTCTTGTAACTTGAATACTATTTTTTTTATTTCCATATTTCATTGATAGAATGTATCATACCCCGCTCTGATTTTTGATTTGACAGTAATGTCTTGTAATTTGAATATTGTTTGTTATGCCATGGCAATTTATCATTCATAGAAGGTAGTTTATCTCCCTATCTAATATGATTTGATAGTGTGATATATATAAATGCAAATAATTCATACTGCATGGAGGTTATATACAAATTTCAATTTGGCAAGGACATACCCACATATATCTACAGTTTCTTGAAAGAGCTTTCGAATTTAATAGAATAAGAAGAATTAGTTTTAAGGCTGAATACTATGACGTACTCGATTAAATGAGAACAGTAGCAAATTCGAAAAGGGATAAGTACTGTATCAATATTAAAACATGTTAATGCATACATGCATTCTAAAACTGCACAATCCACCTTGATAGATTCTTTTTTTTATAATATGATGCCTTTTCTCGTTAAAAAATATAACTGTTTAAAATGCATGAATTACACCCTAGAAAGGCAAGGTTTTATGAGCGTATACGAAATTCAATTTACAATTGAAGATATTATAATCACATTATCTTTACTTACTAAAAAGTAGGACTGTGTAAGACTTAAAATAGGAATAATAAAAAATTAGTTCCGCTGACGACAAATGCACCTGCAAATTCTTATATTCTTTGAGAACCAATCGGGCATAGTCTTGATTTGTTTAGATTTGCATACACATGCTTGATAGTTTTCGTCGTTGAGTGTGTAAACTTATTTTCATATAAATACCTAGATTCCAAGAAACATGCTTTCTCAGAAATTGTGCTCAGTGCAGTTTAAAGCTTATATTATATAAAGGCAATTCTGCGAGTTCTATCCGTACTTTCGAACTGACTTCAAAATGGAAAGCTGTCCCACACCCTGTGTGCCACAGTCACACATTTATGCGGACATAGATTTCAATGTTCGCTCACTTTTGTTGATTTTGAGCGGTACGTCAACGACTGAAGAAGGCGACATCCTAGAACTAGAAGATATCTATCAGTTACGAGAGGACCTTGAGGTTCTGATACGAAATGTATCGTATTATCACCCGAGGATACAGGAACTCCATGAAAGGATTCTATCGTTGAAAACAACGGTTGATCAATTTACAAAACAAGAAATCAGTATAGAAGAGAGAGTCAGATCTCAATATCAGATGCATTGGGATGAAACGAAAGACAAATTCACGGATGTCTCAATAGTTTGCAGCAAAGAGCGGGAACGAATCGAAGAACTTGAGAAGAATGAAATCAGGTATGTTTTTAACACTTAAAAGAAAACATTATTTTGAGTTAAACGTGAAGCACAAAATAAGTTTTAAAAGAAAATCCAACGTTTACCCGGTCACAGTTTTATGAACGGGGTTGATATTCAGCACTTTTTCTTTATTTTTAACTATTGCAAATACTATAGAAACTATACGAAAAATGACATCTGCTTTACAGATATAAAAGTGCATTGGAAAATAAAAATAGCAGAATAAAGTCATTAGAAGAGAAGGTAGCCATCCTGTCAGAGAGTAATGAAAAATTATCTTCCACAGTTAGCCAAATGAAAGAGGTTTCTGCTTAAATTGAATATATTCATTCACATTGTATTCATTGTAATTTGAATTTGTATTCTTAAAACTAACATATACTAATAGTAATACAATTGTACAATTAAATGATCACCTTTTACTGTGGAATGTAACATTTGAAAATACGAAAGACTGTTTTTTGAATAATACTCACAATCGACTCTCCATGTGCAGTGCAGAACTATCTTTCTTCAAAACAACATTCAACGAGGCATGTATTATTTTCATCTCTGTATAATTTTAATACCGTTTATAAGTGTGCTTCTGCACAGAAACTAAACCAAATTTTTGAGTCTTAAAAATTAATCAAAACAATATTCATCAGTACGAATTCCCTGTCACATGAAAATAAATTACTTTGTGATGATCTATTTCAGACTATTGGAATGAGGATGTATGACGAGTGGGTGTTTGACAAAACAAGAATTCAACAGTATTGGGACGCACAGATCATACAGACAACAAATATCATAAGGAATATCTATAACATTCGACTGGAGGCAGAACGGCGATACCTTGCACAACATTATCAAGTTAAAGTAGGTGTCAGTTTTATTTGAAAACATATGCATGTTGAAATAGCGTCAGTAAGCTTTGTAAAGATTACTACTTGCTAGGAGAGCAAAATACGACATTTTAAAATCTGACAATACGAGGATAATTAAGGAGAATCCTAAAAAAATCCCCAAGAATTGAATCAGATACCATGAAGGGAAAACATTTTTTCTTGACCAGTCAGTTTCGCTGTGTGCTCTTTGTAGCTTTTAATGAGATTGTAGTTGCCTTTGTATCACCGACTTACTTGTCAGTAGCTCCTTTTAGAACGTGTTCGTAAGTACAAGCTCTAGCATAATGACACAGCTTGAGATTTAAATCAGATATGGTGGTGATAATTATAGTTTTTCACAAATAACGAAGGTTGTTATAAATTTTGGGTGCCATTTTTTAAATGAATTTCTTTCTCAGGTATATATTTAATCCGAATATTTACGACATAAAATTGTATTTTTGATTTTAGATGAACAAATCGGAAACGGAAATACAGAAGTTCAAGAAAAGTTATAAAGCCCAACTGTTACAATTGCAAGAAAAGGTAGCAAAAGTTCAAGAATTATGGAAGAAAATGGAATCTAATTGCTCAACTTCGAATAATCGACAAAGATGCACGAGACTGAGGGGAGAATTTCGCATCATGGTTGATATCGTCGTCACAAAGTAATTGATTTTTATGTAAATTTGTTCTGTTCGATGTTTGATTTCGTAATTGCAGGTTTTAAACATTGGACTTTTTTTTAATTACAAAGCGACGTATATTACTTCCCTATAAATAATTGGATCAGGAATCATTCCATGATATATCACGTGGCACAGTGCTACTAAGCATGTATTTGCTCTCATTCATGATTGATTTCATTTAAATTGGAGGAAACAGTTTCGCCAAATATTTTTTCATTATTAATAAAATTACATGAAAGGTGATAACATTTTACCAGTATGTAATTTTGTAAGATGCTGTACGTATAAATCAAGACTTTTTGTCCGTTTAGTTGGTTTTAAAAACAATGTAATACACTTCAGAAATTTTTTCAACAATAACAGAGTGTTAACTAGTTACTCTTAACTTGTTTACAATTCATGCACGTGTCATTGAACTCATTTTTGCCTGACTTAGAGTATCAAATTAATCGACCTTTCAATGTAAAAAATGGAGAGTATTTATTTCATAAAGAACATGTAAAAATGAAAAAAATCCCTATCTGAAGTGATTATGAATGTCAATAAGATTTTCTTTAGTAGCTAGTGTAACGGGTTGACACTGTTTATTGTTATTATTTCAGACTGGGAGATCTTAGGTAAGAAAAAGAATCAAATGTATTCTAAATGGTGATATCTTAAAAAGGCGTGCGTACAGAAGAAAAAGCTTGAAAAAAAATTATCAAGCTAAGATATGGTATGACAAATTTTTATGTTTCAATGCAAGGTTGATATAAATCTTTCTTGACATATTAATATTGAGGTAAGTACATATATATATATATATATATATATATATATATATATATATATATATATATATATATATATATATATATATATATATATATATATATATTTATTTATTTATATATATATATATATATAATTTTACAATAACCAGAGCTGTCATTAATAGAAATTTAATGTACTTTATGTACTTAGATTTATCTTATCTGAAATCTAGAGAAAATCGATTTATTTTATGTACTTAGAGTTAAAAAAAACACAACAGTAAAGTTAGTACAAATCCTTGCATACAAGTTCTTTCAAGATACCACATGAATGTAACAGCTGTAATGTGTATCTTACACATAAAATGAACAAATCTTAATTTAGACAAAATAAAATTGACGTTCTTTGCCTTTATTTGGGGGATAATATACAATTTTCATCTGTAAAATGCACAAAGGGAAGGGAACAAAACCCATGTAGAATTTATTTCATGAACAGACGAGTTTTTTGCCCCAGTTTCTTTTTAATTTTACAGATAACCATCATTAATTATTTCCAAATTAAAAATAGGAGTAGATAAGAATATAGTTTGTTGTTTAGTTATTTCGTGCAAAAATTGGCATAACAACTATTTTTGTTTTTCTATAACAGAATGTTAATGTTCAAAATATTACAGGTTTGACTAATTTCCGCACTAATGACCACTCTTCTGATTTAACGTTCAATCGTTTAATCTTGTTATTTGTTTTTTCAGTGAATCCAGTTTTGTATATGCAGGAAGTAGAGAAATTAGTCATGAAAAGGAAATTTTTGAAAAAGAAAGTTTGAGAACCAAAGCAAGCACAAACGAAGAGTTTTACCAACAAAACGACGTGTTTGAGGAGGCTGGATCACTTGATTAACCACCTTAATAATTTTCAGGTTACATGTACATACATAGTAGAAAAAGCTACTTTTATTATCAATTCATTAATATATAAATATGTTAAAATTTAATTTGTAAACAACTAGGGAAAAACGCCTTTTTCTCTTTATTGTGGTCTTTTAATGCTAGTGCCCTTTCGTGAAGTACGAGTAATTGTAACAATATTTTTACTTGTCGTACTTTACCATTCAGCCATCATAATACAGCATGATAGAGAATTAAAAATTCAGCCTTTATTTACGTTAATATCTTGTAAAATATATGTCAAGGAATAAAGTTCTTAAATGTTTTTTACTATCAACTATGAGACATTCTAAATGTAATGTCAATACTTGAAATCTTGCACATGTATGTTGTCTTTTACTTAGTCTCATTTTCTTAGATCTAAAATATCGATTGTCATTTTTAGCTCACCTGAGCTGAAGGCTCAACTGAGCTTTTTCTGATCAAAATTTGTCCGTTGTCTGTCGTCGTTGTCGTTGTTGTTGTCATTGTTGTCGTCGTAAACTTTTCACATTTTCATCTTCTTCTCAAGAACCACTGGGCCAATTTCAACCAAACTTGTTACAAAGTATCCTTGGGTGAAGGGGATTCAAGTTTGTTCAAATGAAGGGCCAGGCCCTTTTCCAAGGGGAGATAATTATGAATTAGAGAAAAATTAATGGCATTTTTAAAAAATCTTCTCAAGAACCACTGGGCCAGGAAAGATGAAACTCATGTGGAATCATCCTCAGGTAGTGTAGATTCAAGTTTGTTCATATCATGACCCCCGGGGGTAGGGTGGGGCCAAAATGGCCGATCAAAGTTTTACATAGGAATATATAGAAAAAATCTTTAAAAATCTTCTTCTCAAGAACCACTGGGCCAGGAAAGATGAAACTCATGTGGGATCATCCTAAGGTAGTGTAGATTCAAGTTTGTTCATATCATGACCCCCGGGGGTAGGGTGGGGCCAAAATGGCCGATCAAAGTTTTACATAGGAATATAGAGGAAAAATCTTTAAAAATCCTCTTCTCAAGTACCACTGGGCCAGGAAAGATGAAACTCATGTGGGATCATCCTCAGGTAGTGTAGATTCAAGTTTGTTGAAATCATGACCCCCGGAGGTAGGGTGGGGCCAAAATGGCCGATCAAAGTTTTACATAGGAATATATAGAAAAAATCTTTAAAAATCTTCTTCTCAAGAACCACTGGGCCAGGAAAGATGAAACTCATGTGGGATCATCCTAAGGTAGTGTAGATTCAAGTTTGTTCATATCATGACCCCCGGGGGTAGGTTGGGGCCAAAATGGCCGATCAAAGTTTTACATAGGAATATAGAGGAAAAATCTTTAAAAATCTTCTTCTCAAGAACCACAGGGCCAGGAAAGATGAAACCCATTTGGGATCATCCTAAGGTAGTGTAGATTCAAGTTTGTTCAAATCATGACCCCCGGGGGAAGGGTGGGGCCAAAATGGCCGATCAAAGTTTTACATAGGAATATATAGGAAAAATCTTTAAAAATCCTCTTCTCAAGTACCACTGGGCCAGGAAAGATGAAACTCATGTGGGATCATCCTCAGGTAGTGTAGATTCAAGTTTGTTGAAATCATGACCCCCGGAGGTAGGGTGGGGCCAAAATGGCCGATCAAAGTTTTATATAGGAATATATAGGGAAAATCTTTAAAAATCTTCTTCTCAAGAACCTTTGAGTCAGGAAAGATTAAACTCATGTGGAATCATCCTCAGGTAGTGTAGATTCAAGTTTGTTCAAATCATGACCCCCCGGGGGTAGTGTGGGGCCAAAATGGCCTATTAAAGTTTTACATAGGAATATATAGGAAAAATCTTTAAAAATCTTCTTCTGAAGAACCTTTGAGTCAGGAAAGATTAAACTCATGTGGAATCATCCTCAGGTTTTGTAGATTCAAGTTTGTTCAAATCATGACCCCCGGTGGTAGGGTGGGGCCAAAATGGTGGATCAAAGTTTTACATAGGAACATATAGGGAAACCTTTTAAAATTTTCTTTTCAAGTACTTCAAAGCCAGGCTTTGTTATATTTATAGGGAATCATCCTCAGGTAGTGTAGATTCAAGT